AAAATATAAAAATCATAGTAAGGGTAAAAAAGGGAAAAGAAATCTTAATAAACCTAGGAAAAAAAATCCTAATAAACCTAGACTATCTATACTCCAACACTCCCCCTCAAGCTAGGCGCAAAACTGTCAACTAAGTCAAGCTTGACAACGGAGTCCCGAAGAATAGACAGAGTGACAGGTTTGGTAAAAATATCCGCAACTTGATCACTGGTCCCCACAAACGATGGAGTAACAAGACCACTGCTGACCTTCTCCCGAAGAAAGTGAACATCGATCTCTATATGCTTCGTTCTCTCATGTAGTAAAGAGTCAGAAGCGAGTTGAATAGCAGATTGATTATCACAATATAATGTGGATGGAGAGGTCACTGAAAAAACCCAACTCGTCAAGATTCGATCGTAGCTAGATAATCTCACATGTGCCAAGTGTCAATGCCCGATACTCTGCCTCTGCGGACGAGCGGGAGACAACTGTCTGCTTCTTGCTCTTCCAAGAGATAAGATGAGTCCCTCGAAAAGCACAGAAACCCGTAGTAGATCGACCATCACATGTTCCCCCATAATCTGAATCTGAATAACAGGCTAGAGAACCGGTCTGAGATCCTGATGCATAAAACAATCCAAGTCCAGGACAAGACTTAAGGTACCGAAGAATATGATAAACTACATCAAGATGAGGCTGACATGGCCTATGCATAAACTGACTAACTCGGCTGACTGCGAATGAAATGTCCGGCCTAGTATTGGCTAAGTAGATAAGTCTACCTACCAATCTTTGATAAACTGTCGGATCTTTCAACTCCTCACCTTCAGCAGTAAGCTTCAGGTTTGGAATCATAGGTGATAATGCCAGTTTGCACCCCAACATCCCAGTGTCTGAAAGAAGATCCAAAACATACTTTCTCTGAGAAAGAACAATACCTCTGCTTCTACTGGCAACCTCAATCCCAAGAAAGTATCGCAGAAATCCAAAATCCTTCACATCGAAGGCCTTCCCAAGGTCTATCTTGACCTGCGCAGTCCCAGAAACATCATCACAAGTAATAATAATATTATCAACATATACCAGAAGGATGACACACTGTCCAGAAGTATTCTGTCGAATAAAGCAGGTATGATCAGAATGACACCTGGTGAACCCCAATCGTATGACTACATCACTGAAGCGAGTGAACCAGGCTCGTGACGACTGTTTCAGTCCATAAAGAGACTTACGCAGTCGACATACCTTTCCAGCATACTCTCCCTCACCACGAAAGTCCGGTGGTGCATCCATATAAATAATCTCGTCCAGATCACCGTGAAGAAATGCATTCTTCACATCTAATTGATGAAGAGGCCAAGAGTACTCCGCAGCCAGAGAAATAATTAACCGAACAGTAGTCAATTTTGCCACGGGGGCAAATGTAGCACCAAAATCACGACCTGGTACCTGAGTAAAGCCCTTCGCCACAAGTCTAGCCTTGTAACGATCAATAGTACCATCCGCAAGAAACTTCAGGGTGTAAACCCAGCGACAGCCAACAGGCTTCACCCCTGAAGGTAAGGAGACAAGATCCCATGTATGATTACGCTGAAGAGCGTCCATCTCTGTCTGCATGGTAAGAACCCACTGGGGCTCCCGCATAGCTTCCGAAATAGAGCGAGGAACCAGCGTATCTGATAAGGCCATAGTATAAGCTCGAAATGTGGGAGACAGATTACCATAAGAAACATAAGCAGAGATCGGATATAAAATCTTTGCGGTCCAACCATATCGATTAACTGGACGACGCTCATGCTGCTCAATCATCTCATACACCTCATAAAGAGAAGGCAGTGTCAACATCGACAAGATCTGAGAACGAGGTCCCTCAAACTCATTACGAAGCCCCATAAGGAACTTGTGAATCCTATCCTCCTGCTCTCGAGTATGCAAGAATGCTGCTCCCTCGGGCTCTATCTTCGGAATAGCAGCAAGAGGACGTAGAGACTCATACTCAAGCCAGCGCTGGGTCAAATAGCCATAATAATCCTGAACGGTCATATCTCCCTGTCGAGCATAAGAGAGCTCCTGAGAAAGCTCATAAACACGAACTCCCTGTCCTGACTGAGAATACATCTCTGATAATGCGCTCCATAGCTTCGAAACAGAGCTATGAAACTGGTGGATCTTGCAAACAGAGGGCTCCATTGAGCCAAATAACCATCCAAGAATGGCACAGTTTTCAGAGAACCATGCAGAATATCCAAGGTCGGCATCAGCTGGCTTTGGGTGAGATCCCGTCAGCCAACCAAGCTTCCCTACACGGCCTAAGAAAAGCTAGAATGAGCGTGACCACTCAACGAAGTTACGACCATTCAACAATTGTGCCGTAACTTTTTGAGAGATCATGCCTGGTAATGCAACTGTGCTAGTAGGCACTGTATACTGGTCAAACATAAAAGTGGAAGTACCCATAGATGTCTCAACGGTAGAGGTGTCAACAGTAGGGTTCTCAAATCCCTCAGTAGTAGCCATATCAACAACAATACTGGGGCACCCGTGACAGAAAAATAACTCTAAGATAAATAGAGGAATAAAATAAGGGAGAACAATATACCTTCAGTCGAACAGTAGCGACAAATAGGGAAGGTCCAAAAGCTCCCAAATAACTCTAAGATAAATAGAGGAATAAAATAAGGGAGAACAATATACCTTCAGTCGAACAGTAGCGACAAATAGGGAAGGTCCAAAAAGCTCCCTAATAATCAAGTCACGGTGCCCAGAAATCCAAAATATATAAATAAGTGATCTACTGCATCAAGGGCAGATCAACAGAAAAGAGGATCCGCTCCCTCCCAAAAAAGTCCTAGAATAAAATCACAACGAAAATTGTGACCCAGCAGTGGGCTGGACAATGATCTAGCAGTAGGAGTGGTTTTATTGGGTTTATTGGGTTGGATCTATTATTATTATTATATGGAGAATGGGTAAAGGGCGCGAGACAGGATATATATGGTTATGGACTGGTTGAACTGGTATGGATTGAGGTTGTGGTGGACTGGTATGGACTGGTTTAAGGATAGGCAGTCAGTGTATGGACTGGTATGAGGATGGGCAGTCGGTGGAAGACTGTTTGTTGCCTGGGCAGCTGATGGCCAGGGTAGTTTCGGCGGTATGGCTGGTAGAGCCATACACTAACCATATCCCAAACCCTAACCTTGCTCTGATACCAACTTGAAATAATTGTGAGTAAAAGGAGATACTCAAATTAAGAGTAAAACCCCGTATATATAGGCAAAATATAAAAATCATAGTAAGGATAAAAAAGGGAAAAGAAATCCTAAAGGAAAAAGAAATCCTAATAAACCTAGGAAAAAGAAATCCTAATAAACCTAAACTATCTATACTCCAACACATTTTCAATCCACTCCTCATCTGTAAATGCCTCAAGAAACTGCCTGATCACGAGATCAGGGTCATCACCAGTCAACCTCCTCTGAACTCCTGGGTCAATTGTATTTGGACTATCACTGATAATCTGCATAGAGGTAATTTATTAAAATTCAACTCTAACTGGATTATTCGGATCCAGCTAGATTTTAGAATTTTAATGGAATTGGATTGGATGTAGAGTATGAAAATATAATTTATCGATATTTCAATTTGTATCAAAGTTTTAAATTAATTTTGGATTTAGATTAGATGACATTGTATCAGAATTCGGTCCATTGAAAGTGTTCGCGGTAATCCTTGAGAGGAGCAAAAGAAAGAGAGAAAGATCATTTTTCTTCTTTGAGTGGGTCAAGAGCTTGGTGATCATACTTAGAACAAAGCAATAATACTTTCACCTAATTGAAGAACTTAATTTGGAAATATAATGTATTGATGTCGTTGGACCGATAATAAATCTCAACGTTAGATAAGGTTCATTGCCAATCCGACACTCACATTGCATTGGAACCCAAATTAAGTTCAACTAGTTTTCTTTTTTTTTGCTGGTTAAAAAAAAGAGTGAGGACAAAATAGAGCACCCAAAGACCACTCCTGATAGGCATTTACTGGTGTAATCATGAGGTCCCTGATTGCACCCATTACTCCTCTCGGGAATGAACTTAATTACATAGTGATCAATTACCGAACTCCAATATGGACTTCAAAACTTAAACCTCTACACCACGCCACTCGGTGGTAAGTTGAACTGGTCTTATTTCTTTGTCAATTTTAGTAATATGCAATGCTCCATAACCAGTTGATGAGGTAGCATTTTAACACATGCAACAACCCATTTGTTTCACTAGATGCATGGGGCAGACAAAGTGTCAACTAGTTGAGGCTGGCTGTTCACTTAGAATGGGCTGTTTTCCAGCTGTATGATAGTGATCCTCTGGATTTATATAGAATTGTTGCTCATCCACCTTGTTTCTTAGTACTTTGCACACCGAGTTTGGTGGCAGCACATTATCATAAGGGGTTTGGCAAGCCTATTGCTTGGGTCATCTAATCAACAACCAAAAACATTTTGTAGATATTAGTGATAGCTAAGCCAAGGAGGCGGGTGAGGATCAAAATTTTATTTCGGTGAATTATTTCAGTAACCTAGAAAATAATAGTGTTTCAATATATTTCAAAAATAGAACGAAAAAAATTAAAAATTATTTTTTCAAAACATTGGTCAAAATATACAAAAATATCTTAAAAAACTCTGAAACATTCTAAAATGAATGTGAAAATATATTGAAACATTACATAACACTTCAAAAACAACTTGAAACACCTCAAAGTATTTAAATTTTAATTTTATCACTAATTTATTTTAATCTCCTTTAAAACAAAAAAATTTCAATTGTTTCAAAACGAAAATTTTAATCCTTGCTTCTGACCCAACTTAACTTTATTTAACGTTGTAAGCACTCTAACAGTATAGCTGTTAAGCAACTTAAATTCATTCATCTCATGTATAGTCGAGTTTGTATCGTGTATATGAGGATATGATCGGATTTTTGTTGGCATTTAACTAAATAAGTCTGATTGGTCAAATCTATAATCTATAATATAAAACATGACAAACTTCAATAAGTCTATCCGACAGTCTCAAATAGACTCATCCAACGACCACCAACATCCCTCTTAAAATCATTCACATTGCACCATGCCTTCAGACATGGGTTATCCCTAGTTTGATTATATCACAAACCCATTAAGACTAAGTTCAAAATGAAAAGTTCGTGAACTCCTGGCTCTACTGTGTGTAGACAGACTATTACATTTGTTTGAGACTTGATTCTGCACAAAATTCCTAACCCTAAAGGTGGAAAATTATCTACCAAGAAGGCAAGCTAAAAATGAGGATGCTATATTTCGATAACATCATACAAGTTTTTATTAGGAGGATACTTACATTTTTAAATGCAAATCAGTCTCATTGCATTTTCAATTCACTCCTCATCTGGAAATGCCTCAAGAAACTGCCTGATCACGAGTCGGTCATTCTTCGTAAGATCGGGGTCATCACCGGTCAACCTCCTCCGAACTCCTGCCTCAATTGTATTTGGACTATCACTGATAATCTGCATAGAAGAGTCAACAAAGAAAATCAGTGCTCCATGGCTAGGCTAAGATGATTTAAAAATTCTGTGATGCAGGCATTTTGGGATAAAGACATGACTCGGTAAGTGTAACATGCAAGGTACATTGGGATGGCCGCCTACGACGATTTTATGGGGAATGGTCTTTGACTATTTTGAACAACCCTAAATTGCTGAGCCAAAGGGGAAAAGGGCGCCCCTTAAATCAATATGCCAAATCCTGTCTGTATAATAATTGGATTAGAAGTCAGTTATACAACTTCAAATGCAACAGACTCCAATTCTGGTCGTATTCTTGTTCTAGAATGTCAATATTCACATAACAAATATTTGCTCAAAAATAGCTTTTTCTTCTCGCAAAAAAGTGGTCAAAACCGTTTCTCAGTATTCAACAGAAGCAAATCATTCCAAGCACGTGCAAAACTTATTTTTGTTTGAAATATGCACCAATAGTTGGGCTAGAAAATCAAGCCATACTTGAACATAGTTGTTGACATGGCCGTCTTTGTTGGGAGGAGTTACAAGCTCATGCTTATTGCAGATCCACTCCCCATCGACAACATACTTGTACTCGTAGCATCCTTCCTGTTAATGAACAAAAGTCAGCAATATCTTCTCACCCTCATATTTCTTAAGGAGAAATGTTATTTCCATGTATTCTACATTCAGCAGCATCGGAGATGGATTCCTGAGGAAGGATGAATGAGATTGAACATCTCCTAGTTATAAAATTAAGTTATGTTCTAGTACATCCATCTTTAACAAAAAATTATCTCTTTTTTGACCAAAAAGAAAAAAAAAATTAGAGACACGAATCAGTGAAAGAAACTAGGTTCACACTCCATCCTGAAATGAAATTAGTGATGTGTATCCAGGTGGGCAGCTGGAAGTAGGGAAGAAGATAGGAATTCAAATATAAGATGGGATAATAGAAAGATCTACATATTTAGGGGAGCCAGCTTAGCAGTATATCGACAATCAAATCAAAAAACTGAGGGCCAAAATGCCTCCCTCCCCAGGGAGGGAGGGTTTCCTTCCGCGTCTTTGCCACTGGTAAAAGCACCAATAGCAACCAACTGATGGAAAGAACAAGTATAGCCTACAATACTACACTTGATTGAGAATATAAAAAACACAACAAAAAATATTGGCCTCAAAAGACTATTTTCGGTCATAAATATTGCACTTATCGACAGATTTTCAAATTAAATGTACCTATGACACAAAGGATAAAGAATGAGAAGCTAGTTAGCAGAATGAAAATTATTTTGAGATAATTTAACTTGGATCAGCTTTCAACTATTTGATCAACTACAAAAAACTCAAATTTAATGTAGTCATATGCAGGTATTAGGAAGTTTAAAGAAGGTTACCGGCAATTCCCTACGGACAATCCACAAACCTTGTTCCTCGTCAAACTTCAAAGGTATTCTCTGCAACGTCAGAGGAGAAAGTCCTGAGTTAGTGAATGCGGCCTGAGGCCTCAGAGCGAAAAATAGCAACTGTTATAATTACACTGAACAACTGTCATAAACTTTATCTCATTTCAATTTCTCTAATTATGTTAGAGTCAAGGTCAAGACTAACTGTCTAATATCACACTTCAATGCCCAGGGCAGACCCAGCTTGGGAAAAAACAGACACGTCGATTATGATATTAATATTGAAAAAAATACTGAGGTATTATTCATGGGGTATTCGAATGGAAATATATATTTTGCCCATCTCCAGAACTTCTTAATAAATGCCACTTGATGGTTTCACCACATGCTCCCAAAAATTTTAAAGCCCTAAATTATGCGAAAACCTTTCCCTTTTGACTGGTTTAAGCTTAAGACACTGAATTAGTGAAGCCAGGAACAGAGAGCCAATCCAAAAGCAGGAGTGAAACTTGAATAAGGTTAGGGCTTCATCACAAGTATTCTTAACTCTGCTGCAGATACAAGGAGTCAGGAAATTATTACCACGTCATTGGAATCTTCATGAGATTTTGAAACCAAATATCTCAGCATGTTGTGCAGGAAGATAACACAAGGTCAAAATAATGTTTTTTTATGAGCGAGAACCAATACGTGGCATATGAAGATAACCTAAGGTTAAATAACAATAATCCTCTTTACTATATATTTTTTATGGGTAGAGCCAGCGGAATATTAATATCAGATTCCCAAATTGAAAATCTTAACCAGCTGAATAGATGTGCACTAAAAGCATACTAACAAAAGGAAGACGATACATTCTTGTCATATTTTGTCTCCCAAAGACTAGAATAGATGTTCACTAAAAACTAATCAACAAAAGGAACATCTTTGCTTGAATGAAAAATCAAAGATGACTCCTAAAACAGTTGATCATTACCTGACCCCATCCAATATCAAGTCCAGAGATCTCCACTGTAGAACAATTCTCACCAGACCATGTTAACGTGACAAGCTTCTTTTGGAGGCCTGTAAGCTTTAAATAAGAAAATAATTGATTCAAAAGTGATAAATGAGTTTCCTAATTCCAAAAGAAAATATGGTTTTTCTTTAAGAAAGACAATTTCAAAACCTAAAGATCGGGAGAAGAAATGAAGATGAGAAGAGAAGAAAGAAATTGGAAAGGAAATAGATTGAAAGTTTATTCCATAATCCAAATCTAAGTCTGACTAAAACCCTTACACCAATCCCTTTATATAGGAAAATCAAACCCTAAAATTAAGACTCCTAATATAGCTCTAATACCAATACTATAAAAATAATTACCAACTAATATTCAAATAAGTAAATAAATCTTCAAATGAATCTTTAATAGCTATCCTACTCCAACACAATCCACATCACAGTCTTTACACGTGGTATGATAAATTACATCATGAAGAAAATTTTAAACAAGTATGACAGCCCTAAGTCAAGCTGGAGAGACCAACAGACAGTAGACAGAAGCATACAACTTAAGCAATGCTTCTAGCTTGATAAGTTTCTATTTGAATAATTGTAAGCAACCCACTTTCCTGTCATACTTTATTTACACCAGTAGCTTCACACTGAGTCACTTTCAAGGGAAGTGATTAATTTCAGGTTTAACACAAGGACCAAGACCAGTCAAATCTCCACCATGCTCTGTTGACTCTTTATGCCTTGATTTTCATATCAAACAACTTCTAACAGTCCTAACAAAGTAACTGCAGATGGATCCTGTCAAACAAGAACCAAATAAATGCAGCAATTTCATGCTGATCGAGGGTATCCTGACGAAGGAACTGCCCGTTTCCATGTTTGCTTACATTTACCCCTCCCAATAGAGGTTATTAGATAACTGTAAAATGCGGGTTTCTCTGGTGAAAGTACTTCCATAACAAGGAAATCAATGATATTCAAGCATGCTATTTTACTTTTGTATCAATGGCCTTCACGTGTAGTGTAATATCATCAAAAGTTTGATTCCCTTCGTGGCTTTTGAAGCATCTCTATTTAGTTATATGCATTTGTATTTGATAGAATATTTCAGGAGCTTGTTTTGGAAATTCAAAAAGTACTAGAGGCATTTGGAAAAAATTGCATCAAGAACAAGGAAAGACAAACAAACCCATAAAAAACATGTTTGTTTTCAACTGGTGTAAGTTGTGAGATGCTAGAACATTGCCCACAAGAATGACACAAAAGATTCAGAGCAACTCGATAGGAACATTTTTTTATACTTGTTGGGCCACTCCACTCATTGTTAATTAGTTTTGAGTTGAATGTTCTATGGCATCAGAGCTAGATCTTAGATGATCAGTGGGCAAAGTCTCTTATCCATTTGCATTTTCCAGTATATATGGTTGCTTGTTTGTTAGCCCAACGTACGAGGTTGGGTCCCTCGTGAGAGAGGGTGTAAAGAGGTCTTATATCCCCCTTCAAATGATTAGGACCATCCAAGATTAGTTTGGGCCCAATTAGTTTTGAATTGGATACTCTAATACTTTTAAAACTTGTAATAAAACATGAACCTTGTGCAATGAAAGCCATGATAAACTTCTGAAACTTATAAATATGCATATTGCAAACTTTGTTCTCCAATTTGAATATTTAAGGAGTAAGAAGGATATAATACTTATATTATGTATATATATTTCAAATTCCCCAGTAAAGTAATATCAAGAGAGGTAGACACTAGTTTTCCTCATCTTTTTTTCCTTTAATGTTCTTTCAAGTTTCAGCATCTGGCCGCTCAAACAAACCAGAATGTTTCTCCAACCACCTTGAATCATGAGGTGATTTGCAATCCCCAAAGAGTATTGCTCAAGAAATAAGGGTAACTGGAAAATCTTGCCCCCCACCCAAAAAAAAAAAAAGAAAAGGAAAAGAAACCTATAGACCCAAAATTTGTTGACATAAAAATATCAAGAAAGTGACACTCCAGTTTTTCTTCTTTTTTATTATAGTTATTTAAACCTATCCCCACACAAAATGGACCAGAGTTTTTTTCCAACCATCTTGAATCACCGAATGTTTGGAAATCCACAAACAAGAAATGCTTAAGATAGTTTTCTCTCTTTATTTCACACCATTCTTTTGAGTATTTTCAAATTTAATTTCTTTAATCATCTATTCATGACCTACTTGTTTTTCTGTTGCAACAATATTCTACAAACAATATTCTCAGAAGTGGTTTATGCATTTAACAGAGATTTCAGTAGTACTAATCTAGCATTTCTTGCAAATTACAAGCAGGGCATGAAAAAATCAATAGCTAAATTGCATCTGCTGGTCAACAATTTTGTCTCAAAAAAGAAATGGCCATCTAAATGCATCGAAAACAAAGGACTTCTCACAGAGCCAAGATAAAAATAGGATGCATAAAGTGGACAAGCTTTAGTTAATAAGAACTTTTAAGTAGAATGAATTCATAAGCAAAAAATTTGCAATCAACTGATAGGAAATCAATTTTAAATGTTTTATGCAATAAAACACTTTGGATTACAGCATTAGGAGGAAACATCTTTAAAGTGGGTTGCTAGGAAAGTAAAAACTGCGTTTCTAGGGAACAGACATGAGGATTTTCTCAAACAAAAGTGCAGTTCACTCAGGCAGCATTGTATTAGAGCAATATTGAGCATCAATGATACTGTGAGACCATAAATCACAATTTCCAGATGTAAAGAAACAAAAATTCTAATCCCCAGGCTTATAAAATAGTTCTACATGACTACTAGAACTGATGTCATATTATAATAAGGGAACAAGTGACTCACAATGTCAGCAGTTGCACTTTTTATGGCATCCAGTTTTGGGAAGCTCGGACGCTTGCTCTGTAAGGCGAAAGAAAAATATTGAGCTACATCGGAAGACTTGGTCCCTTCCTTATGATATCAAGTCAAGAGTTCAGAAACAATTTCCTTGAGTAACTCTCATTAAATTACCAGCACAAAATTCCTGGAAAAGTCTTCTAAAATAAACTTGGATCTTCAAAATGGTAAACATCGAGACTGATATGTTTCCTAATCATTTGTGCCATGTACACTACTATCAATAGGGTTTTCGGCCCACAAAGCTTGTTAATCTCAATAGAAATTCATATCCCACAAAATTGGTTAGAAAACCCAACATAAAATTTTCTTGCCAATTTTCAATTACCTCAAGAATTTAGAAGAAATCACTGTTGTTACGTTCAAACAATGGGGTGCACCAAGTATTCACAGAAAGACCAACAATGATCAAGAACAAACACAAAACCAACTTACCAGAATTAACCTCTGGGCTTCACTAAGCTTGTAGCCTTGAACCCAGAACATATATGCCAACTGCAACCCAAAACTTTAGGACATTATTTATCAGCACTACTAAATAACAAATAATGTTGTACTTCCAACCCAATATATCTTGTATACCACGTTTCAAGAACTCCCATAGTAGTTATTATGCTCTTCGGATCAAGAGAATTTAGGTTTTGGTAGCTGACAGTCGGGGCAATCTTCATTCTGTTATTCTCCTACCCAGACCACATTTCTTATATTTTTAACCGGGCCATCTCAAGATCGTATAGAATAAATTCACCAGTTGCACATAAAACATTGAGCATTTTTATTGCAAATTTCATCTTGTAGCTTTACAATGGAAGAACAAATATTTTTTAATGAGAACAAAAGTTAACCCTTAAAACACAAATACTCAATCAGTATTGGAGGCACAAAACAAATCCTCGATCTTTAAACAACAAGGAAAAAGTTATAGTTCAGCGAGATATATTCGTAAATGACAATGAATATTAGCTGCACAATGGAAAACTTGACAAGCAATCAGAAAGCCACAGCCAGTTCATCTAATAAAGCACCATCAGCTGCAAATTATAGGTAAAGGTGGGCCCTCAAAGCAAAGGCAGAAAAAATAGATAAAATATTCTCTAATTGTTGACTCCCAAAATGGTTCCCTACACGAACCAAATTGAATAAGGGTTCAATTCTCACTGGCCACTCTTATAAGGTGATAAGTTCATATTCAGATCTATTTGTAGCCATAAAAATCACCTCAATGAAGACTCGACTTCCCACTGAACCACAATAAATGAAACAAATAACAGACAAACAAATAGATGTGTAGTTCCTTGGTTATTACTAACATCCTGACTATTTTAATTTTTGCAAGTTGTACCTAAGAAATTCACAAGGCATGTAGCATAGTCAACTACCTAAGAGACTATTAGTTATAACCAGAACACTCGGGCAGCTTTGAGATATTCATTTGAAATGTTTAAAAAAACTAACAATGCAGTACACAGCTCACTAAGCACCTCACCATGGCTGAAAGAAAATATGATTACATTCTTTCAAAGAAATTGACAAAGCAACTGAATAGCATTATGAAGGGTATACATATGAAGGAACTTTGCAGAATTATTTTCACATTGATTTTCAATAGTACTGTAGGAACAAATCTCTGAGAAATGAATATTTGGAACCAAAAAAAGCTCATGTAGATGTATATAGCAAGAGGGTTCTGTTAACACAAGCACAGCCTTCCAGCAGGCATAAAAAGTAAATCAAATTTTATTCTTCCGTAAAACAAATATTTAAAGTTTTAGTGGTTAGATCTGGTATATTAGAGATCTAAAGCTACGCAAAATTGGCAGTGCAGATGGAATGTTGCAAGAAAGTAAAGAAAGAAGATGTATATATTGATGGGACAAGATTTTGTCCAGTGGATGAGTATATGATGATGACTAAATAAATGCAGCTGCTATAATTAATTTATTTGAAATTCCAATAACCAGAACAAGTTTTTTTTGGGTGGGGTGGGGTGGGGGGGGGGGAAGAATCTTCGATTTTCCCTTCCTGATATAGCTAAATAATAATGTCGCATTCGGTTACAATTAAAAGGTACCAAACCTGAGGAATATAAAGCAAAAAAAAAAAACAAAAGCCTAGCCATGCATACCGCAGCTGCCGGAGCTCTACCTAGTCCAGCCGTGCAATGTACATAAGTTACACCCCCATTTCGATTAATGGCCTTGTGTAATTTGCTCACCACAGCTGGAAGCCGCATCCGCAAATCGAATGCATCAAAATCCCTGCGTCAGAAAACATTAATTTGAGACTTAAAATGCCAAAAACTGCACCACATGTGCAAGTATAGTCTACACTGGCACAGGGCCCCCAAATCAATTACTCTGCTGCGTGAACAAAAACGAAATCCTCTAGCAAATTCTTTTCGGTGTTTGCATCATTTTTAGGTTACAAACTATGAAGCACGAAGGGAACGTATCCGTGTCGGACACTGACACGCCTCAGATACTCCACGGACGCATGTCCATTACTCTTTTATCCGTGTCCATAATTAAGTTAAAAAAGTTTAATTTTGGACCCGTGTCCGACACTTTTTTGGTGGCATGTCCAACACTTTTTTAGACCATGTCGATTATTAAATAATAAACATGTGTTGACATGTGACCAACAAAGTTTAAAACTTTTACTAATAAGTAGCTAATACTATGAGAGCTCGTTTGGTTATCGTATTGTACAAAGAGGGGATTATATTATTAATCTCGTATAAGTGGACAAAATCCAAGATTAACTGAGAGATAAGAATACCTTCCATTCCCATCCCACGTTTGGTATACACCAAATAAGAGTTGGATAACATTAATTCAGTATAATATTACATTTGGTTGGTTCATATATGCAATGTTATTAATATTGCATTGACCAAAATGGCCTCAATTGAAAAAAATAATTTATTGTTTAATGCATATTCCATGTGACTAAATTAGTATGTTAACCTTATCACCATCAATGTCGGCTTAATCGAGACAACTGACAAAGAATGTTAAAATATTGCATAAAAAATATGGATCTTAAAGCTATTTTTCAGAGACCCAATAGATCAAAACTTATTAAATTAAAAAAAATAATTAATGTCAATAAAAAAAAATTAACATAAAATTCAAGCATATGATAATATACCCGGTCAAAATAATTACAAATGTAAAATTTTGTTTCTAATCTATACACATAAATGATTAAATACACAAATCTATATACTATTTTATGTTACTTCCCAAAAAGGTTGCATGAAAATTCTTGTTGATATTGTATAGAGTAACAATTAGAAGACAAAAAATTAGGAAGGATCTCTGCTTAAATAAGAGGACTTTTAGCGAAGTAGAAAAGTAGAGTTGGCAAGTGAGAGACGTGTAATGTGAGCGGAAGATACAGTAAGTTACAATAATGTTGGGGCAAAAGAGTAAAATTACATCATAATATTTTTTTATTAGATTACAATACCACCTTTCGGGTGGTACTAAAATTAGCTTATAGTACAATTTGAGGGTATTAAAAATATACGGTTAGTATATGTATTGATTTAGTCCTATAAACAATACTAAGTGATTTTTGACATCCAAATATCGTATAAGCCCAAATTAAAGTCTTTTAATCCCACATGACTCTTTAATACTCTCCACAATACGACAACCAAACAAGTCCTAAATAAGGTTATCTGGATCGTGGGTCGCTTAAGTACGTGATACAGATACGAGTATGCAGTACGACACTTTATTAAGTACACGATACGATGAAGTAAGCTTAGCTGGAACGTTATTTTGGATCGCAATTCATTTTAGAATTCTTATTTAGATTGTTTTCACTACTATATATTATAAGTTACAAAACATCCATAAACACTAAGTCAGTTACCATTGATCTTATATTTGTGCTTGATTTTCTATTATCTAAAATAAAATATAATTATAAATCTACATACATGTAATCAATTAATATGTATTTTATATTTGTGCCACATATTCGAATGTTTCCGTGTCGTGTCCGCGTCCATGTCTGTGTCCGTGCTTGTGCACGTGTTCATGTTCGTGTTTCTTAGGTTACAAAGCAATAAAACATTGCTACTTGCACCTGCCTGTGAAGGTATCCAACTGGCTATTCTTGCAAACTGACTAGCAAAAAATGGAAATTTCTTACATTACATAATCAATATTCAACATTACTAACCTAATTTCAGCACGCAAATGCTCAATGTCATCACATGTATTTGCATACTCACGAATGGCACTGATATCGACCCCAAAATATCTGGACAATACAGGTTAAGGGTCAAAGAGGTCCCTCGCTGCTCCAATAAATCAGCTAAAACTTGTCCCCCTTTCTGAATATCAACACTTAATAGATACTCCCAAGTATAGTGAAGCAAGAAAAGGCAAGTACAGCTTTTCGGAATTCAAATAATTTAACATTTGGAACATAATTAAAACTTGTTGGATACTCAAGATCTGAATCTTGTTGCAAGCAAAAAATAGTTTTCACCCCAACACTGCGAAGTTTGTCGACATCCCCAGGAGTCTGCCATTTAAAGAAAATAGAAAGCTCAAAAGATTGTTTTGTGAAGGTAGAATATGCTAATATTCCATTTAAAGAAAATATTCTATTTTCTATTTAAAGAAAATAGAAAACTCAAAAGATTGTTTTGCGAAGGTAGAATTTGCTAATAAATTTAAGAGTAGGCATGATAATCACCTGCAGACATGATCCAACAATCAAGTCTGAACGAATGAAGTTGTAGTTCATTCCAAGTTCATGCCTATAGGTCAAGACTGTGTGTAAAACAATATAAGTAAAGGTTAGCTGGAAGAACAAATGTTTAGCGAAAGAAAAAATTGTCAAGATTCAAGAAGCTTTGAAAGAACAAACCAACAAACTACACTATCCCAATTTTTACATGTCAGCCACGGATCCAGCAGCGGACCAATCAGAACATAGCACCTTATAAAGTGAGAACATCTCAGCAGCCGGTAGTTTTACAGGTCTGGGGCAGTTAGTTTTATGGGGGTGGTGTAAATTTGAAGCCCTAAATTTAGCTGAAAACATGTCAATCGACATTGGCAAATATTCTTGCAATTAAATGAAAAAAATTAATATGATTTCCACTCAGTTTTCTGCAGCTTCCTCACGTGTAAACTTGCTACCAGAGCATGAATTACTAACCAGCACCCATAGCTTGAGTCATGTCATGACTGTATATTTCCGATTTTTCCTCCTTTACTTTGGCACCATCCATATCAGTACTGGATGTAGAACCAGATACTGCCTAAAGAACAGAAAGCAAATAATCATCAACATAAAATCACACTCATATCCAGGAAAAAAGGCTAATAGAAAAACACTTTTTTCAAAACACGAATACTATAACTGGTGCAATCATAGAAATCAGCAAACTTATGACATTTATTTGGTGCATATACAACATATGGTTGAACATCAGCATGATACAGTGCTTTATACATGGATGCTAATTTCCTTGCCGGTCTTTTAGTTATGCCTGCTGTGGCATACTAGATAATAAATTTGCAACCTCTTTCAAGGTTGAATAATAGTTTTATATGTTTGCTAACAAGGGGTAATCCAGCCTCAGAGCACACACCTAAACCTTCCAGATACAGTTAGCCTTCAATCTCACATGTACTAGGTAATTATGATAACAAATTTTTGAAGAGTAGCCCCAAGGACAACCAAAGTCAGGACATCCAGCTCTCAAATAGTACCTCCGGACCATCTTGTCTATCCAGAGGAGTCACTTTTTCTACAGCAAGAAGCCAATCATCTGAGGAGATTACACACCATCCTAAATTATTGTTAACTCATTTCCTAATTATTTAAAGATGTAATAACAAAACAAACTGATTAAATTTTTGTTTATTAGTGAAGTGGAAATGACCCATCGATTGGAGTACATGAACTCATGAAGTGTTGAGGCAAAATTTTAACAATCTAATCTAAGTGCTAGATTCTTAAATTCTGATATTCGACTTGACTAAATGGACATCAAGGTGGCTAATAATCTCCCAAAATGATTCTGGGACGCAGCAGTGCTTTTCAGCATTTCCCACAGAATCCGAAATCAAATAGATAATAGAGCATACATAATAGAATTTAACTTAACACCAAGCCCAAAAAATGAAATTCGAAGAAGAAAGCATGCTTCGACAAAAGAAAAACAGAACATGACAAAGTGAGACATATACTACATCATCCAAATTGTTTAAGAACTTTAAAATATCAAATCTACCCAAAGAATGATAATGGAAGAATAAAGCATGCTTCTACAAAAGAGATTACATCATCCAAATTGTTTAAGAACACTAAAATATCAAATCTACTTTAAAATCAACATGTAATTATAAATTCGCATGAATGAGTAGATCAATCCAATAATCTACACAACAGAAAACAGAAAGAAAAAAAAAACTGTAACTAAGAACAATTACAGGTTAAATTATCGGTAACAAGAACTAAGAATCCATAGGATTTTAAAGTACCGTCATGGTAAGTCTCTGACTCCGATCAGTAGCATTTACCAAATTCTGCATCCAAAATCAACAAAACATTGTATTATACACAATTGTAACTTCCAACAAGTTGATGCCGTTTGAGTGAGTGGTACCAGTGTATTGACATAGCACGAAGGCTTTCTCGGATGGTTTTTGAAGCTCTGAGGCAAAGCAGAGGATCTGAAAAATCAAAGAAGCAGAATGATTAACTGATACGCAAAAATTATACCGAAATATGTTGAAAAAAAAAAAGAATCAAATGTTGTGTGGAAATTGAGCAGACCTGGGGAGACTCTGAAGGCAATTCATGTGTAGTGAGTAACGAATCTGGAGTCTCGCGAAGAGAGAGAAAGTACAAGAGCTTGGAGTGTACTTGATATTTTTCCAGATTTTATATAGGTGTGCTAGGATCGAAAAGGGGTCTCCTTTCCCATGATTCTCCAAAAATGCCTTCTTTTCTCTCTCTCTCTCTCTCTCTCTCTCTCTCCCGGGAAACCTAGTTTTTTATTTGTAGATATTTGTTGTAATAGATACACGAATAATTGAGTGGAATTTTATGTGCCCGATTTGAGTTTCTCGAACCCATTTTTTTAAATAAATTTTAAAAATTATTTAAATTCAATTTATTTAATTTTTTGAATAAACTAAAAAATTTGTTCAAGTTTGACGGGTTTAAATTAAACGATCTGGAACTGAACCCGAATAATTTAATTATTTTATATATAAACAAATCAAATTTTACGAAAATTACTAATTATAAAGGAGAGACATCTTAAATAGTCTCTGCAGAATTAATTTTTTTTAATAATAGATAGATAGGAAATCAAGGAACATCGAGCAATGTTAAAAAAAAAATTGATTAACGACCAAGATGTTATAAATACAAAATCGAGAAAATCATTATACGCGAAGAAAAATATTAATGGTATTTTTCCTCTGTTTTAGAAAAAGAGCAATATTACATAAACTTAAAAATTAAATTTAATAATTACAATAATTGATAGGTTTCTATTTATTAGAACTCACTATCTAACATAAAAATTAGGGTTCATGGGAAGTGGCCGGAAGGAAGCTTATGAACTCTGGGTTATTTGTACTCAATAGTCACATATATGAGATAGGTTATATATAGGGGTGTTCAAATTTCTGATTAACTATAATTTGTTATTCTGTCTAATCCTATCTGATTCTATTGAACGACTAGCTAAAAAATCAGATAAAAATGTAGATGAAGTTTTAGATTTTCGATTAAATCAAATAAGAATGCGAAATAATCATTAATTTTTGTATTTCTACCCTATCTTACAAGGACTATTAATCAAATTGACCTATTCAAGCTTGATTTGATTTCAGCTCGGATTCGGCTCTTTCAGGCTCGGTTCTTTTTTTAAACGAGTCTGAACTTGAATAAATTTTTAAGCTTGTTTAGAAAACAAATCCTACAAGTTCGGCTCAAATTCGACAAACTCGACTCGTTTATGTACAAATATTTAAGCTCGACTTTGATTTGACTTATTTTTAGTTAGTTCAGACTCAGACTCATTTCTTAAATGAGCTGATCTTTAAAAATTTAAGCTCAATTAAAAAACAAATTTTTCAAACTCGATTCGGACCGTTGAACTAACAATCTTATTTTCTACCCACGTTAATTTATATATACTAGACTGCTCGTCTGCCATGCGGAAAGTCGCATCAGCCTACGCACCACAGAAAATATGAACAATAATTATCCAACCAAGAAAAGCAAAGCAATCAGTGATAAGTTCGATTAAGGTACCAAATAGTAATTTTAACAATTAAAATATCAAAACCAAAATCTACAAATATAATCAATTTTAATACAATATTGACAATGATATTATAGGCATATCAATCAATCAATGGTGACACTTGAATGCTGTAGATGCTCAAATTTGGTCATTATTATGCTCATTTATTTCTTACTAAAACAATGCAGCACACTCGTTTTACATAAGAAATTTTACATAAAAATAATAAAATATTATATGTATATATGTATAAATGAATTAAATATTATTTTAAATTTAACAAATTTAATTTTTCATTACCTATATTCTATTGTAGGATTACGAAAAATTTGTATGTTTCTAAAATTTTTTATTCTAACTCTGAGAAAAAAGATTAAAAAAATAATTAAAATTCTATTTTTTTAACATTTTTGTGATTGAGATTATTTTTCAATGATCTTTGAGAAATTAAATTTTTTGAAATTCATTTTATTAGGATGTCACTTATAATTCATTAAATAAAATAAAAGTATTTATCAATATACTAAACATATTGGAATTTTACTGTAATTAAGAATTGGTTAAGTGAATTGGGATCAAATTTAATATACTACTCTATAATATATATTATCAAGCATATTAAAAATCTAAACAATTCAAATTTTACTTAAAAATATACTATAATATCTATTTTCACGTAAAATCTTAATAAAGATTAAAAATTTTATTGTGGGTGAAGAATTATATTGATGTCAAGTAATTTGATTTAAAAAATTATATTTATGGTTATTTTTTTTTCTTAGAAATAAAAGGATTAAGCTTTTCGATGAAATAGAAAATACACATATGTAGGCATAATGTTATCTTTGTATATGAGATGAGTAATATTAGATTGATGAAATTTTTGAAAGTTTTTTGAACATTTTATTAAAAATATAATGGGGCATATTTTTAAGGATAATATAATTAATCAAATTTTTTTATAGGAATTGATATTTATACATAGATATTAAAAGATATGTTAAAGATAATTTGGAGATTTAAATATTAAGGATATGATGATAATTTAGATATTTAATTGTAAAAAAATATAATGGTATTTGCAAAGGGTAAAACAGAGATGTAAAAGTTTTTCATGTTAAAGTACTTTTATTAATAGTATAGATATATATAAACTAAAAACCCTAATTCTCTAACCACATAGTTTAAATTTAAAATAATTATTATTGTATCTGTGCAACAATTATGATGGATTGATATTTATGTTTTCTTGTGTTTTATTATAATTGTTGTTATAATTGTTTTAAATTTTAGTATTATTGGTGTATTGTGTTGTTAAATTGATGCATATTATTTAATTGAATTGTTAAAATAATTCAAAAATTAATAACTACAAAAGTGTTCATCCAATTTTTTACCCGACTTTCTATCCGATTAATTAGGCCCAAAATCGGGTAGGAATACCACACTTGATTGAGTAGGATAAGCTAAAAAAAAATTCTTCCGTAAAATATCAGATAGGAAGGCGAAAGACCATATTTTCTACTCGTAGGGTAGGGTGAACACCCCTAGTTATATGATTTTAGAATGATGCAAACTTTAAGCCTAAGTAGTAACTCCAACGATAATAAAGACAAATTATAAACTCAGACATATTGAATTTGAGGACTATGAAAGATAAATTCTTTATGAATATCATAATTTCGAAATGAATAGTCTACTTTTAACTAGATCGAAAATGAAATTAATTGAGATACGCGTAAATTAACTCGAATACACCTGACCGTTAAACCAAAAAACTACTTTGTACTGTCCGGAGCTCATATCGGTCGATTCCCTACTACTTTTTGAGAAACAAACACTGTAAAAATTTTGGAAATTAAGTAAAAAAAAAAAATTGAAAAAACACCTACAACATTTGATATCTTCAACGGTCATTCGAGAATTGCTAAACAGAATCGTTCAATTACCATTTCGTCACTCTAACTGTGGTATTCGTTGCACAAATTGAGGTAATTTTCAAAATTTTGAACCAACATTCAAAGAATTTTGCCACGAGGGGTGAGGTCTGAATCATCAAGTTTCAAAGCAACCCCTAACGGCAATGGGCCCTTCTTGTCCCCCGCCCCACACGTGATTGAGCTACGTCCCAAGCAAATGTTCCCATCCTTCGGATTTAATTGATTGCTATTAAATTTCCCAAAAAAAAACGAAGTTCATGTGTTTTCGCCTTTATCCCACAATAATTGACTTCAATTGCTATGGTGGCAAATAGTTTCACTAAGAAAGATATCCAACACTTAACTGAAATGCCAAGCAGTAAAATAGCAAACTCGTGTTCTTTTACATCCTCTAAAAAATATGCATGTTACATGGTGGCTGGTCCGCCTTGAAAATTAACCTTTGTTTTGTACCCCTTTTTGCTGATCATATCGTCCACAGCGGCCAGTGGCTGAAACCCACAATTGTTCACAAATCTAATGGTTCCCACATATCCTGATCATCAGACTGCGGATCTCTCAGAATAGCTTTGATCTTTGGTCTCGTGGGTTGATCCCTCCCAAGCGGGAAGTTCCAAAATGAATCCGAATTCTCAAAGAATATGTAAAATGCAACAGCTGAGGCCACAAATAGTCCCAAGAGCAATAGATAGATCTGCCACTCTGCACATAAAAAGACAAAAGTTTAAGCCTGAGTACTGAATATACATGTGCGAGGTGTGTGGGCGAGTCTGCACATAGAGAGAGAGAGAGAGAGAGAGAGAGAGAGACCTTTCCAATCGACAGGAACATTTAGCTTAGTGATCATGGCTCCCCATCCAGCAGAAGTGGTCAGCACAACCCTGCAAAAATGCAGCCCAGCCAAAGATATTATATAGTGCAACTTTCAGAATATTTAAATCAGAGCCCAACATCTATTATTCCTTTGCAACATTTGTTTGGTTACTAGTGATACTCAACAGCATGAGGCTGAGACTCCAAACAATCAATATGATCATATTATCAGCATTATAAAAATAGCGTCACAACTCTCAAGCACGAATATGCAGCCCATCCAAACTATTCCACAATTCATTTAATACTTTGAAATAACATTACCATAACCATGGAATCCACCAAGTGATACTCAACAGCATGAGGCTGAGACTCCAAACAATCAATATGATCATATTATCAGCATTATAAAAATAGCGTCACAACTCTCAAGCACGAATATGCAGCCCATCCAAACTATTCCACAATTCATTTAATACTTTGAAATAACATTACCATAACCATGGAATCCACCAAGTTACAAGAATACCTTTGTTGCCTAATAAATCATTCAACTTGTTTCCTTGGACAAAGATCAATGAATCATTTCATATAAAAATTTATCAAACAAGCATGGTATTTAAACAATGAGATGCATGTTCTTTTGATCAGTTAAAATACAAGATATATATCCTAAAAATAGAACGCTGCCAGTACTTTTCTGTTAGTGAAGATTAATAGAATAATGTTTAATTGCACCATACCTTTCACTTGGACAGAATTCCAACGATGCAATGGAAGAACCTGGGTGAAGCCTCTTGCTCCAATGGTAGACTTCCATTTTTTTCACCTCAACTACACACACATCTCCATCTTTGCTTCCCCTGTACTCAAAAAAAATATCACTCAATCTAAATCACAAGCTATCAAACTCTTTTTCCAAAAAAAAAAAAGAAAAGAAATTAATAAAGTTATTAACTAAATCACAAACTGAAGACACTATGTACAATACTTATACAACTAGTTGGAAACATCTTGTCAAAAAGTTGCTAATTGTGATCGAACCAAGATGTCTGCAATAGTCCATTGGTTTAGCCATTCAGCACCATAAATCTTATACCATGCAATACTTATCAAAATAACCCAACCTAAAAAATCAGATATTTCAGAATAACTCATTATCAAATTGCAGTCCAATCCGACGAAACGAAGTTAATGATAATTTCCACAAGTGGATGCTCATAATTAGCCTCTTGGATAATCATAGCCACATGATATGTGACTTTGCAATGATTTCTTCATAAGATAGCAGCCAATGGAGAAGAAAATGAGTTGATACTATAAAGAAGCTAAATACCTAATTTTCTATTTTATGATCAGTTCCATATATCCATTCCATTTCCCATTCAAAAGGGAAAATTGAACAACAAAACCAAGCAAACGGGAGACAAAAACATAACTATTTCATTTGTGTCTTTGTACTTGATGAAACTACTCCTTCATTACCATCATTCTCC